CATACCAGCTGATCAGCATAATCCACCGGAGGGTAGGGTTTCTTTTATTTTTCCTGCATGGCAGTTTGCATCTGAGCTGATGTGGGATTTCTTTCTGAGCAGATGCCACGAGGTCATCCAGGCTGGCCATATCTGTCCCCAGCCACACCATTTTTTGTCCCTTAGCCACACCGTTTTGTCTTACCCCCTCTCACCTCCTGGGTCTGTGAATTCTTCAGGCAGGAGCTCTTTCCCTGTTGTGTCACCGTGGTGTCACTTCCAATCAGGGTTTAATTTCATTCAGTCCTCTTGGTGTTACTGTACTACAAATGAGAGAAATAGCGTGTATGGTATCACCCACCTCAGGAGGTCACCACCTGAAGTCAAGGACTCTGCTACCACAGAGCTATGGAAATTTGAACACATTTGGAAATTGTGTTCACACAAAAAGTTTGAGCACAATATGGAAATTTCAAACAGAATAGAAAACTACTCTCTCTTTTCTCTTACATTTTAAACATGAAAAAGAATAATGGAGAAAACCCAAATTATCTTTTCATAAGATAAAATACCTAGGTAATAATAGGTATTTGGCACAGTAATCTTAGTCACCCTGACTAAATAATTATTTCATATGGGCCTGAAGAAAATTATTTTCAGAATGACTCTGAGTTGAGCAGGGAGACCAAGGACCTGTTGACTCCTTAAGCCCAGTAAGAGGTGTTCAGTGAGACTACAATATCACACTTGTTTTCTGCAGTGATCCAACCTCCACCCCAATTCCTACATTATAATCCCTACAGCTTTCTAAGGAGCATGTGATCAGAAACACATCATTGCAGATTGAGCTTTAACACATACCCTTTAACATCTGACTTAACGGAGTGCAATTGAGGGAAAATGCATAAATTCATTATAGCCAAAATATAGAGAAAAGCCCAACAGAAGATATTTTGGAAGAGATGATAGGAACACGGGATGATATTTCTGTGCTCTGGTTGTTCTGTGCCTTCCTGTAGTGTGCAGTTGCTACCTATTAATTAATTGCTGCCAGTTAACAAATGCCATCCATTCTGTAACAGAGCTACATTGAATTTCTTTTCAATCTGTCAGGTCCTTTTGTCTCCCTCTTCCTCTCCTAGATCATGTTTGTGGCTGGTAAATTGGCTTCTGAAATGCAGTCTCACACACTTGGCTGTTGAGTTAGCTTTTGTCTCTGCAGGACACTTATATACTGTACCTTTAAGTACCCAAATCAATTTAATTAAATTTCATTACAGGCACTAGAGCTGAAACAAACTAATGAAAGCAGCCATCACGTCAGGTGGTATTTATCTCGGCATTAAATTGAAAATACTCCCTTTAGGCTCTTAAAAATTAGTTTCAATATTTAACACTAATAGCTTTTGGAATTGTTGATGGGGATAGTTTTAATGAATTTGTTACAAACTGTTTACCTTTCCAAGGAAAGGAACTTTTTTCTTCGAACAGAGGAGAGCTTAAGACAGATCACTTAAAATTATTAAAGTTTTGGAATACTGTGGCATCTGTGAGCTGGCCATAATGCTTCTGAGAAACACCACGAAGTTGTTCATACAGTGACAGTAATATAGATTGTTTCGTCAAAAGCAATGCCAAGTCGCAGCACTATTCATGTTAGAGTTCACTCTTGGCCCAACTTGTTGAGCTGGTAATGCTTGCAAACTTGAAAGTTATATAGCACATTTTATTTGAAGACTTTACAACAGGCATTACCCTCAGCAAAGAGAAAAGTTAAGATTTGCAGGGAGAAGAGGGGCAAACAGTCTGCCACAGAGAAGAATGCCATTGCCAGCATCCCAGCTGCAGCTGGATTTCATTCCCTAATGGGTGAGGTACCTTGCAATGCTCTTGGTGAGGAAGCAATGCTGACAAAGTATCTGTTAATACTCCATGGAACAGAACTGGTGCCACACACAGTTTCTCTGCAGTCTGTAGGACCATGCACGTTACAGGGATTTCATCCACTTCCCATCAGAATAGTGGGTCTAGATATTAATGTGAACAATACAGAGAGAGGAGGGAGTAGGGAATGGGAGGAAATTTAGACTTAGGGGAAGGTTTGGGTCACTTTTTTTCTGATTTAAAATGAAAAGAAACTATTTAAGCTACTCACATGCTAAGTTCACACTGTAAGTTTGTAGAAGTTTATGTCAATTCATGGAGCACAATCATGCCTCCTACATTCATTTTCTAACTGTAGTTGTCACAGCTTGTACAATTCCAGTTTCTAATGTGGACAGGATCTAGAAAATCCAAACTTGCACTCTGGCTTTAATAATTCATAGTGTTACTAAGCATTCATCTTTTAATGGATAACTTGAAAAAAGATTTATCTGGAAAAGATGGAAGATGGTAACAAGGGCTTTGTACACCTCCTTTCACCAGGGGCTGACCTTTCTGTAAAGAGTTTTTCCTGAATTTCTTGATAGTTCCCTTTGCAAACAATCCCAGAGTCTCACTGAGGCTGAGATACTGGAACAGGTACAAAGTCTCCAGCACGCTCCACAGGCTCAGTCCCTTGATCGTCTCGATCAAAGGATGCATCAGGGAGTGCTATGCCTCTGCTGTGACCCACAAGTCAGGGAGTTATTTGTGGGAAACAAAAGTGCAAAAGGACAGTGTGCGTGGCCATGCATGCATCCAGATACATGGAGCTGGAAGCATTTCAGAGTTGCACTGCCTCAGCATGGCAGGTATCTCCTTCTCTTGCAGGTAGATGGGAATAAATAGCCTTTTCCTTCTTCTTTTATCAGATCTAGAGTCTGGTCCTCTTGGTATTTTCAGCAAAGGAGTCTGCTTAAAAGAAATAAACGGTTAGCAAAATGTAACACAGTGAATTATAGAGGTCACCATTCTTAAAAGAACTTCAGACCCTGGAGAATGAGAAAGAGGGGAACCATTTTTCCTCAGCAGGATAAAGGCACAGGCTTCTTACGTTTGTGGCTTCATTTTTATAGTAGAAAAAATACCATGGAAGTTAAATAACACAAAAGTATTTTACTTACAGTTTTAATGGTTGGATAAGATGATTAGATGTAAGATGTTAATTATAAGCTATCAGTTCTTTTTAAAAACCTATCTGCAAGTATTGAGAGGTTTCTAATAATTTCCAATTTGATTCAGCATTAAGTAGTCAGGGGGTTACAGATGTTTTGTTAGCGCTCTTGTCCTCCCTCCACATTGGAGGACAATGCTCGTGTAAAAGTGGCTTGTTGGAAATGAAAGATTAGAAATAGAAATTTTTGGTTTAAGCAGTATTAAAGATTAGCTGTTTCTTTTTCAAGAATTCTTACTATCTTATATTGATTAACCAGTTTTCTTCCTCATAGTTTCTTACATGACTGTCATGAAATACAAGATGCAGTTCATTAACATGACTGACCCCCGTGGACATATGCTCAGTACCTATTTTAGGGAAAATAATGATCCCACTAGAAGAGCCATGGCCCATATCTCTCTCCTCCATTTTTTTCTGTTAAACTCATGACTGAGATATACCCGTGTTTACACAAATGCATTATGTAAGGAGTACAGACGGTCAGAATCTGTAGCTAGGTGTCGAGTCTGTCTCTCCTAATATACTTACAACATTTCCCTCTGCACCAAATGTAAGTGCCTTCTTTCTTCCTGCTGTTTTCAAAAGAGAAGCCTGTTACACTCTTGCTGAGTTCCATTTCATAGAAGTTTAGTGGAAAGGAAGCATTGAAGCCATCCCCTACTGCAGCTCAGAGAGCCTGGTGCCTGTGGAGGGCACAAAGCTGGAGAGATGGCTTGTGCCAAGGCAGAGGTGGGAGAGGGTGGGCATCACAGCTGGGTGTCAGGAGCAGCCTATGGTGGAAATATCCTTTTCTGCCCCAAAGCAGAGTTGTTTTTCTGTAAGCAAGAGTGAAATTCCAGCTTTTTTTTTGTTGTTGTTGTTGGCAATATTATATAAGTTTTTGTTTTTTATCCAGCACGGTATTTCACTGCAACTTTTTGTTTAGTGCCATGCCAGGTGCTTGCCTCAATTTCCACTGAGCACAACAGAAAGCAGGCATTTTTAGACTATATCTTGAGTGTTAGACTGGGCAAACTCAATTTGTTTTACAGAGTTAGATTTAGCATTAAACAGTGATAAAGGCAGTTAAAATCTGTAAATACTTTAAGACATCTGGAATATTGTGGTTTCTAAGGGCACTAACTAAAGTCAATTTATGTTCTCACAATACTTTTAAGCTATTTTTAGTTTCCATTTTAAAATGTAAAGTTCATAATTTTGGGGTATGACGTTGTATACAAGAACAAAATGTGCAACTCCCTTTTTATTTCGAAACTGGCAGTTTCTAACATTTTTATTACTTTGTTTCTTTTCTTAAAATGCATCACTATTACCACAGTCTTGAATACAAGACATACAATTTCTTTCTGTGCATCTTGGAGAAAAATGCAATGAGGAAAATGAATAGATTCTTTTTCACTCAGTTTGAACAAATAGGCACTTAATGTACTTTACTAGACTGTAGATACCCAAATAGTTACATTAATTTTGATAATCCTGCAGCTTCACCATCTACTTCCTCCATTTCCTAATAAGACAGAAATGATTTAAAGCAAAACCTTGTGAAAACAGGCAGTTTCATGACTTGGAATATTTTCAGATCATTTAGAATGTGAAACTAGAGGCAAGGAAAAAGACAGAACTATTAAACAAATAACTTAAAACATTGTTCAGTGTTTTCATAATATGAATCTTTCCAAAATATGTTACTTTACAGAACTTTCTGCATTTTGATTGTTCTGGTGTTTCAGTACAGTCAGCAAATCAAATCCTGCACCAGTAAGAGTATTTGCCACCCAGTGGCTGGAAAAAAAAGATAGTAGTCTACTTGTATATAAGTAGTTTAAAAAAAAAAAAAAAAGTAGAGGAAAATACTCTCTACTTAATGCCAAGAACTGTATGGCGAATTTGCTGACTGCTGTCACAATGTTTGATGTTGCAGGACGGATGGTCACAGTATCACTTTGTAGCCTCATCTTCAACAATAGAAAGGGATCGGCAAAGACCATACTCTTCATCACGCACGCCCTCCATCTCTCCCGTGCGCATGTCTCCTAACAACCGCTCAGGTAAGTGCAGGCTTCCAGGGCTGAAGTAAAGACAGAAATAATCCATCACTGTCATTTTTCTCTGTTAAGCAATGTCACTGGCATGCAGATCTGTTAAGAATGATGAAAGCCTACAAAATGCATTATTTACTCTTACCTGAACTATCTATTCAAGGTGGGAATTATCTTTACTTTTTTCTTGCATGACAATGTGCCAACTTCTACAGCAGAAAGAATATTACTTAACTTTTTCTTATGAATTACTATGCAGTGTTTTCCTGATTGAGATTAATCTCAGGTTGATTATTGGTAGCATGAGGAAACTCTGCTACTCTATTTGCTAGTCATGACAACTGTTAAGCTGTTTATGACTGCTCTGTACACTTGGCAGAAGTTGAAAGATCCACATGATTTATGTCAGCTTTTATTCTGATTATATGTGAATGTGTGTATGTGTATATAAGTGTACATACATGTGCATATGCAAGCTTAATAAAAGGTTGACTACAGGTCTTCATGTAATATTGATGACATATTTAGACCAGCTATCATTAATTCTGTACAATCCCTGCAATGAATTAGTGTAAGTATGGCAACTTACACCTCCGTGTTAATTTACTTTTCTGTTCAGAAATCCGAGCATTTTTTCATCATCTTATTCTAATGTAAAACATATCTTGGTTAGATAAAATCATTTGCAGTGAAATTCCTTTAAGGTAAACAGAGTAAAACAATTTTACTACTTGCTCAATCAAATGCTGCCATTCCATAGGTATACTAAGAATTTAGAATTAAAATAGGCCAAACCGATTATTGCCATCAGCATCATGCAGTAGATGGATTTTTAAGAAAATAGTTTTAAGTATCTATTAGTGGTGTCTTAGTCCTGCAGAGCAACCACTGAGGAAATTTGAAGCATCCAGAAGTACAGCCCAGTGAGAGCTGCTATTGACTGTCATTACACAAGTTGGTCTGCAAGGAATTCCTTTTTTTTTTTTCTTTGCCTTTTTTGTTCAAAATCTCATTTTGACAAGTGCAAAGCACATGATATGTCTGGCCCTGAGACCTTAGTTCTATCTCTGCCCAGGACTATCTCCTCACTTCTGATGCTTATAGAACACACTTCAAAAAATATTTCTTATGAATCTTACTGCTCTGAGGAGTCATCTGAAGGCTAGCAAAGGACAAACATAGTGGCTGTTTCTGAAGGAAGAGGAGCCCATGTGATTACAGAGCAGTCAGCTCAAATTCATTTTCTAGAAAACTGTTGGAGAAAGTAATCACAATCTGAACACCTCAGAGATTATGGGAACATAAATGCTGCTTGGGAGTATCTACTTCTACGTTGTAGTACAAGTTACTGTCTGTCTGGTAGTACCCATATCAAATCCAAGCATTGATTCAATAGGATTTCTTCTTATAATTCCACCTGAATTTCTTCCACAGCGTAATCACAAGGCTTTGTGGAAAGGAATAGCCAGTAAATGAGATCTACAGTAATCGGTGAAACTACTTCACGTGTGATTTTTATAGGCAAGTTTGCAAACAGTCCAGAAAACATGCCAACACAAAACAGACTGAAAACCATTCTTAAAGAATAGGTGTGATGCTTTGCTAAATGGAAGCATGCTTTCCTTGGAGGTTTGTCTTGAGTCCAGGACTCTACAATGTTTTTAGTAATGACCCTGGTAATACACAAAGGGTGCCAGTTAACTTGGCAGGTGACATAAACCTGGGAAAGGGTCACCTACCCTGGAGGGCATCGTTAGAATTCAGAGTTGTCCTGAGATATTGGAGATACTGCCCAAAGGGAAACAAAGATCCGATCATTTACAAATAAGTTCTAAGGGGAATATCTAGCTAGAGGAAAGTGCATTAGAAATGATTTAGGGGGTTTTGTCAGTTGCAAACATAAATCAGGAAATAGAGAAATTGGGATATGAGGACACACTGAATGGGCTGTAACTGTTTAACTCAAAGAACAGAGACAAGATGAGGGCAGCGAGAAGAGGTACACACCAAGTCTTCAAACGCGTAACAGGCAGCTGCGAAGAGGCATGGTGTGAACTTTCTCTACTTTCATAGCAGACAAATTAAAAGAATGAGCAGCAAGGAGTCAGGTTAGCTAGACATCGAACATTTTCTAATGGTAGGAAAACAAAACGCTGTAATAAACTGCTTGGAGCAGTTATGTGGTCTCTGTCATCAGAGATCTATAGTTGTAGACAAAAGTCTGTCAAGAATTATTTTGGTATAGTGCATCCTACCTTGGGGTAAATGTTTGAAGTAAATGAACCCATAATGTCCCCTCCATCTCGAGGACTTGGTGATACAGTACTTGTAAGTAGTGTAGAAAGCTCTGTCTATTTTGTGTACTTTAAGAATAAGAGGAGAAAGTCTTGATATTACTTCTCAATATGTCGACTACTGGATTTATCTCTGCTTCCAATAAAAACTCTGGAGGAAGGCAATTCTGGATTTTAACACTTGCCAAAAGGCAATTGTTCTAACATGAGAGGAAAGGTATCATTTCTACAGGGAACAGAGAGAGATGGTTTTGTTCTTATCAGTCAAAACATTGGAATACTTCAAGTCAAAACATTGGAATACTTCAAAGTGCTACCAGAGTACGTGAACCAAAATGTATCCAAGTGTTAGTTACCTTTTCAAGGTATGCATTCTGTTTTGTCCCCTGTGAGAGTCAAGTCTCCATTAGATGATATGGTAACTTAATGTCACGTTTCTTCATATCTTCATGTTTGCTGCCTTTATCATCTTTAGAATTACATCAGTATTGACAAGCAACTTAAAAGCAATCCCCAGTTTTAATACCTCCATAATAAAAGCCATCTGTCCCATATTTGCTCTGTAAATTCAGAGGCTAGGGCCAGCAGAACCAATTTGAACAGAATTCAGCATCACTGTGCAAGGAAGGCTTCCCCGCTCCTTAAGTAAAAATTATAACATGGTTTAGAGATGCTGGAAGACATTTCTTACTTACTTATTTATTTATTTTTAAATGACATTGCTATTGCTTTGGAGACTATTTTAACATATATTGAATGTCCTGGTGGCAGCTGGGGAAGGTGTGGAAATATGCACCAGCAGTTTATCTATTTTTCTACCACTATGCCTTTACTAGGCTCTGGGATGCTCACCTTGTACTCCCTCCCCTCCCATTCCTTCCACAACAGGGAAACTGCATGGTATCTCCCAACACTTAAATCAATGAAGTAAGTTCACTTGCAATCCATTATTTTTGTCCCGGCTTTTTTCCCCTTTTCCTGTCTAAGCATCACAAGCTGTGAGTCTTTGTGATCAGCACCACCCTCACATTCTCCAGTGCATTAAAATCACATCCAACCCTGTTTCTCCTCCTAGTCACCTGGCACTTCCCTGCTTTTAGCTGTAGCAAGAGTTTCAGTTAGCCTCTTTCTTACCGACTGAGAGTCAGTCTCTTTCTTATTCACTCAGAGTCAATTGTGGAACAATCATATGAGCCAATTTTTTCCATAACATTCGCCCCCAACCTCATTCTTTCAGCAGTCTCAGCTTCTAAACACTTGCAGTTTCCCAGCACATGATGAAAGAAATATTGCTTTAATGTCAACCGTTCCTACATAGATAGTGACAGAGAAATTATTAGACTTACCTTTAAGTGTTAGGGATTCTTTCCTACATGTTTTCTATGAAAAAATATCTTTCTTTTCTTCCCATTCCCCTTAGAACTATTTCATGGGCTTGTTTATCTTCAACAGAGAAGGGAGGAATCCATTTTATAAGGGCTGTTCTCCTTTTATATTTTTTTCTACGTAGTTGAAAGTTAATTAAGTGACCATTTTGAGAAGAAAAGCAGAAGTACATATACCAGAAAGTTTTGACACATTAGAGTCTGAAAAGCTAAAAGGGAAAAAAATTATTATTATTGTATTTTTTCTTAATGATCACCTTAGATGATGGGTGTAAGTAAAAAAAAAAAAAGGTGAAAATGATATTTGGAGTTAATAATCATATTAAAACATTTGTACTGTATTTGAAATAACAGCATGTTTTCTTTTCTTTCATAACATGGAGGTGTTTCTTCAAACAGCTTGACATTAATCTGCTAGCAAATACATAATAAAATGTTTACTTTAGAGTTAAACAGTACATTCAGCGATATGTGGTGAGAAAAAATAAATCCATTTTTATGATCTAGCAAGTGCCCCAGCCTCACCCCGGGAAATGATCAGCCTAAAAGAAAGGAAAACAGACTATGAATCAACTGGAACAAACGCCACTTACCATGGAAATAAGGGAGAACACACTTCTAGGAAAGACACCATGACAGGTGAGATTATACTTACATAGCATATGTAAAAATCAGCTGTGATAGATGGCTGATTTCATAGGGTTGTCTGAGTTTATTGTAATGTAGAACAGAGTTAACCTGCTTTGGCTGATTCCAAAGTTTTAGCAACCTTGAGAAATACAACTGAAGAAGTATTTTATCTTAATGATACAGTGCTTTGCAAAAATGACTTGTGAAGACCATGATTTTTTATAACAGAAAAGGCTTTAAAAACACTTGTACACTTCTTTTTAATTTTGTTTTCTTTTCAGAAGGAAGTGGGTAAATCCACCTTATATTAATTAGTGCTGTTTTTGTAAGCATGACAATGGTTTAGCACTTGTGGTGATCCCTAATGTCTGTCTTTTGCTGGGATTGGCTTTCTGGGACCAGTTAGATGTTTTTACATGTCACCTATTCCTAGGAGATTCAGCAGCAGTTTGTAAAGTCTGTCCCTGTTTCTTTCCTAGCTAGAGTGATTTAAATGCACAAAATGTTCGTGGTGTGTGTTACGGCATCTATTGCAGGTTTTAGTGAAGGCCTCTCTCTCCTAGTGAGCTCATTAACTTGTTAGCATTTCAGTAATTACAAAATGTTGACTCTTGTCTAGTACAGTATCTCTTCTTTAATTCTCTGCAAAATAAGTGTTGCTCTCCATCACTGTTGCACAGACTTACATAACCTTTGTTGAGCAGTTTTGTTATATTTACACAGCGATGAGCATCATGGTGTCTTCTCCACCAAATGTTACCTTGGTGCAAGTAAAAAATTGCAGCGAGGAGTCATTCTGCACTTTCTGCCTGTTACCTTTTCCCCCTCCCCCTGCGTAGGTTTTGCTCAGAGAATGCCAGAATGGGTGGTCCTAAGCTCACAGGGACACAAGTACTGTGCTGATTAGGTGTCAAGCCCTCCATGCTACAGTGTCTGCTTTCAAGACATGCTATGACTCATACAGCTTCTTCTTTGCTACACACCGTTGTGTAATCAAAATCTAAAGGCCAGCCTTTGAACTTGTGTCAAAATGCAAAACAGAACATTAATTAGCAAGAAAGTAAAAGTCAGAGGAAGAGAAATGACAGTCAAGAACATACGGAAACCACAGAAACGATGAGTGTCTTGAATCGCCTCTGCAGGATACTACATGGAATTGCAGAAGTTCTGTCAAGGTACTGTATTTAATGTATCTATAACATTTTGTGAGTTTCGTAGTTACTACACAAAACACTACTATAAACACTTCAGTGGTCATTACTTGTGTAATTGTGAGGACAAGACTTAATATTTTTTTCACTGCTTTTTCAGGGATCCAGGTAGAGGGTAGAGGGAATCTAAGGAGTAAGAACAGCAGCTGAAAAGGCAGAAACATTAGTATTTCATTTTAGCTCTGTCTGCAAATTAGATAACCAGATTATATTAGAATGTTTTCAAGAAAGGGTTTTCGCATGGAAATTCTGTGCTTCCTTGCAGATAGTAACTTATTCTTTCATGTCTCTTCCTACTTCAAAACATTATTGATTTCTTTTTCCCCAACCCTTTTCATTTTGTCCTTTACTGTAGTGCTTATGTTCTCCTTTATTTCCTTTCTCTTCCTATATAATTTTAGGAGCCTGAGGTCTGTACTTCCCCAGCAACCTTTGCTCTACTTTGATTTTTGCATCCTGTTTTCCTTTAATATGTGTTTGTATTTTATCTGTTCTTATTGATATTTTGGGTTGGCTCTTAATAAGAAAACTCAAGGCTCTCAGCATCATGCTTGACTATCCATTATTTTTCAGTTACTGAGCTCAGTGAGGAGTATCAAAAACAAATTGAAAAGTTCTATAATATTTCAAAATCTTGTATAGACATTGTATGAATGGATATGGAATTAACAAATCACTTGCTCTCTCTTTCAGATAGATCACCAAATCGCTGTTTGTTTGGTCTGAGCTCAAATTAAGCACTATTTTAAGAACAGAAGAAAATGACAGAAGGAGACCTGCTTTTCAACATTGGACATGAAATTTGTATAATGTATCTGTAGTTAATTAAACAATAAATATTTCATTAAAGAACAATATAAAATACAGTATTTGTGGTTTTAATTGTGAGGCATTTTGGCTTTACTTCTCCGGTCTAATGCAAGTTCATGTAGCAAGTTTATTCTAATGCCTGTATTTCATTTTGTGCATCAAATAATGCATTGCAGCTCATACATCCACAGAGCCTACGGGACTTAGATAAATGTTTTTTCAAGTTCCACCTGGCGTATACATATTTTGAGCTGCTCCTGTGTTTTGTGCCAAGCTGATGTATTACACAAAGCTTTCCTTGACTTATGGATTTACAGAGAGTGTAGAGCTACAGATGTAGTCCCAATTTATCCACACCTGTCTCCATGCTCTTCTCCAAAGCTCTTCTCAGTTTATAGTTCAAAAATTTTATGACCTCTTGGCTGGGACTGAAATGAAGGTTTTTTGATGGATTTTTGAAGTAGAAATGTTGGCTTCTTGCCATTGTGGAGAGTTGTCAGGAAACCTCTGGGAAAAAATGGAGAATCTATGAAGTAAACAGTTTGGCTGAAAATGATAACTTATATTGATTTCACAAGGACAGCTAAAAAATAGAGGAACAATATCAAAGTTCTCATTGCCCTCTTCACTTTGCAGGTTTATGATGCCTTGTATATTTACAATCCATCTTCTCTTTTCTGTAGAAAATAATAACCAATAATAAAATTTTATCACCTAAAGTATATTTTTAAGACAAAAACTATTATAGTCCTTTAAAAAAAACACAGGAACTGTAAATGAATGTGATAACGTTATTTATGCCTTGGTGCTCTCCTTTAGAACAAAGAAGATAAGCTTACTGTATACTATCATGGGACTCTACTGCAAAGTTTCTTTCACTTTATTAATTCCCTTACTGAACTAATATGTGCATCACAGTCTGCCTCCTGTATCTTCACTTCCACCAGCAGAAACTCCTGATTAGTTTATTCTTTTGCTTATCTGTAATCTATCATCTGTACTTTTCTCATTTCAGCTTACTTATAAGTCCCTGCACTGTCTAAACACAAACAGCCACAGTCTGTTATAGTAGATAGAGATGCTTGGGTTACTTGAACTTATTACTACTTTAAGAAACCACAGCATGCTGTAATCTTTTGTCGTGCCCTTTCACCACACGAGAAGGTGGTGGTGGTAATGACAGGCAATGATCTCTGTTAGATGATATTTGTGAGGCACAGAAGCATTTGCCTTTACTGTCTTGAAATAAATTTTAGAAAATGGGGTCCTGATGATGGCAGTAAAAAAAAGCAGGCTATGCAATACTGGCAGAGGATAACTAGCTGCCCAATTGATCTTTCCTTTCTTACTATCAGTCTGTGTTTGTGAGTGTAAAAGGTTAGTACCTTATTATTTGAAAGTGTCTGTAAATCTGTTCTGAATGAATACTTTTAGGAACTGAAAGTTGAATGTTAAACTATGAGCCAAGTGACAGAGATATACAGGGAGGGCTTTGGTCAATGATAACTTTGTCACATAAACCATTGGCTGACATAATTTTCAAAGTTGTCATCAGCTGTGAAGACTTCTGTGGGAAGCTATTTTTTTTTTTAAATCAATATCACCTTTAAAACTGAATGAGGAAAATAAAAAAATAAGGCATTTTTCTCTGTTTTTTATACAACACAACCACCGAGTGCTGCAGGTTGATCATAGTACTCACTTTAGAACCATCACAATTTTTTCCAGTAAGATGTACCTCTCAGTACTATCTTGTACTGATGTTTTTATGGCGCTGATGTTTATATGCTACATAAAATACACACGCCCACACTCATCAATTCTGGAATCATTTCATCTGCAGTGAAAATTCTTACATCTCTGTAAGGAAGCATGGCTGCTGGAAAATCTCCATCTCCTGCTCCTTGTACCCCTTTCCCTTCTCCTGCCACATTTTAAAAAATAAGATCATTTCATTAATTCTCTCTGATAATTTTACTGTGATGACACCCATCCATGTAACATCAAGAATCAGTTACTAATCACCCCAATACCTGGCTCATTCTCTCCCTTCTTTCTTTTATATTCGCCCCCTGCTTTTGGACAGCAAGAGTCAGCTGCTCACTGAGGCATGGCAGAGGGGGAATGGAGTTCCCAGGAGTGCTGCCTGCGTGCTCAGAAGCAGCTACTGGAGCGGGGTGGCATGCGTTACTGGCAGCTACATTGCTCGACTTACATTTCCTCCAGAAACAGAATTATCTCAGCCTCGCAGCTAGACAAAGACAAGATTTCTTGTCTGTGAACTCTTGGCATTCATTTCCAAGCATTTAATGTGTCATTGTACTCCTTTTTATCGCATTACAAAAAGAATACCACAGTTTGCTTGCATTTTGAATTTGTGGATTTGTATTCATGTGACTGCAGTGAAATCAGCAGTGCAGACCTTGCAGCTATTTTTATACACAGACTACCCATTTTTTTTCCATCACAGAATCTGTGATCTGTGAGACTGCAAGTCTTCAATCTAGCATGTGACAAATACAACATATTTCACAGTACTGTGTTGGACAGATATGCACCAACTCTGAACTGTTTCTGTTTTTTAATAATCATGGCTGTTAGGGACATAAAGGATCCTTGTGCCCTATTATTTACCTCTAAAAAGATGGAAAGGTTCACGATACTCCGTGAAGTCTTTCTGATTGCCTGTGGGAATACTATCTAAATTAGCATGTGACCAATCTACTGTTTTTCATCAGATTCTCCATAAAACCCTCAGGTGTTGCACCTCTTTTTTTCTTGACAGCAAACAATTATGAATAGTATTGTCCTCTGCAGATCAAATATTTTCAGTCCTGCCTGCCTGAAAACTTGCATGCATGAAACCTAAGTCTTGCTTGAGGTTTATCTGCATGAAACGAAAATGGTTACAAGAAGCCCTTCCCTGTTAATGAGAGTCCAACACACTGAGTATCACTTCCATTTTGTTCAAGCCAGCTTCTTGTAGCACTCCATGGAGCAAGCAAAGAATTCATAAAGCCAGCATAAAAAAAAAATTGGTATCACAGAAGGGTCAGGCACTGGCACTACTGAGAGCCACGCAGGCATAAGGAGCACTGTAGACAGTAATGCTGATGCAGGCTTCTCTAATACCAAACACTGTCTTCAGGAGGGTGAGTTTCAAACAGTAGAGCAGAGGATGCAGCTGTAATTCATAAAAAACACCAAAATAACTGTCAAGTCTCACACATCAATCAAGCTTGGTGACAAAATGCAGCCTGAACAGAGAGAACCTCTGTAGATCAACCCTTCAGTGCTAACATCTATGGCAATAAGATAAACAATAAACTACTCAAGCAGGCATCACTTCCATCTGTTACCACCTAATGGCACACATGCAAAATTGAGAGTACCTCCCATCATGTTGTCTGTTACCAGAGCTCATTTATTTCCCACTTTCACAGAAAGGATCCCTTTGCACTACTCAGAGACCTGTGGGGCTCTGCAACATTTCCTACACAGAACTATGATCTGTCTTAGTAACTGCATCCAGCACATGAAGAACCAAGAGGTTTTTTCACCCCTATTAGCTAATGGTCATCAAGTGAAAAAAAAAAAAGTGTTGTTTTTCTTCCCCCCAGTTGTTAAATCTCATCACCTGACCATATAAGCCCTGTCTTCATCCCGTTTCAAGACCATAGTGGAGAACTTCAAGAGCACCACCTGAGATCTGTAAAGTGACAACAGGAGACTGTGCATCAAGCTCTGTCAAAAATTGTACCTTCGGCACGATACCTGTGGCAGATGTGAAGATCAGAAGTGGCATTTTGCAGTCGACTTTGACTAACGACCTCTCCACAGAGGGCGTAGTGGCTGGGGGAAGAAGGATGGAGGCAGTTCTGCCTGCTGGGGTCCATGCTAGCAGGTTGCAAAGGGAAGAAGGAGTGGTTACTTCTTCAGTAACGGTGGCTCTTCTTAGTGACGTGACTAGCATGGGTCCCACAGCCAGCTTTCAGCTCTGCTGCTCAGTCCTTGCCCTCAAAGTTTTGAGTTGCGAAGGTACTAAAAGGATCTTTTGGTGCCTCTGGGCTTTTTACCATTGCACAGAGACCTGAGAGAAGTTGAATGGGCAACATGTTTCAGTTCCTGTGGGGACTCTGATTCACAGCTACTTCTAAAATTCTCTTTCAGGCACATGCTCTTATAATGATAGTCATGATTATATCATCAAAACATTGGTTCAAATATCTGGGAAGTTAATAACGCGTATCCAGTAAGAATAGTGTGCAGCAGCCACACATCTTTCCTTCGTATTATTCATATTATTTCAAATAAGAGAAATGCATGCAATGTTTCTGGTTCTACCAGCAGGCTGAGCTTCAGCCAGATACCCAAAGCAAGGTCATCAGTTCATCAGTAAAGGCTAAAGCCCTGAAGGAAAAATCCTTGCTTTTTTTTTTTTTTTTTTTTTTGGGGGGGGGGGGAGGTGGAGCAGGATGGGCAATATATTTTTTACAAAACAGTATGATAATGGTGATGATGATGATGTCATCTTTTCCCTTAGAGTTAGTTCTGATTTTAAACTCTTAGCTCAATTTTGTCCATGTGTTTTAGTACTAGGACATCTGAAAAGAAAGTGACAGCAGTTTATGGATTTGAGACTATCTTGGCCAGATCTCTTTGGTGTAACTGCTTATTACATTTTTGCATAACTCATTTTTTCAGTTGTATTTAATCAGATTTCCCAAGAATGAGTTCACAATATAGCAAAAGCACTGTAGGATAAGATTTGGTATAACATCATTCAACTGACCTGAAAGGAGATAAATATTTCTTAATTTCATTATTTGCAACTGCTACCTGTTTAGCCTATGTGTGATACAAAATCATATGTATAATCTGAAATATATTACTGAATGCTAGCTGTATATGAAATTATTTTGTTGATTTATGTGTGAAGTGCAGAAGACTGGTATGAACATGACATAGTGCCTGTAACCATTAATAAGTGTACACCATGTACACGCATGTACTACAAATCAAAGATTAAGATTATTTAGTGAGAGGGAGAGAAAATGGAAGATTGCAAACATTTTTAAAAATGTTTGTGTATGAGAAACGGGCACTATGTAAGTATTAAACAAAGCCTTAACAACTCATTTTGAGACCAAAGAGGTATGTTTGGTAAAACTGCTTTTCCTTCCTCTTTTCTCTCTCCAGCTCAGAGCACTGGCATCTCAACTTTGTACAGGAATTCTTACGGTGCACCTGCTGAAGATATCAAACATAACCAGGTAAGCGGGGAGACTAAAATGTTACTGTTCTAGATGGCAAGACACCAATGTCACATTTTCAAATGGAAACTACCAAAAATATCACAAGGATAAAAAAATCTAGATTAGAAGAAATGAATCATCTGCTTGACCAACTGCTAGCAATTCCACTGGCTGCAGGCAAATTATATTCTTTATGCTAATGCAAAATTTCAGCCCATGTTTCAAAAATGGGTTTCCAATGGGTTATGACAGCATATGCGCAAAATTAGCTAAGGTATTAAGGCTGGTAACTCTTAATGAAATCAAGACAGCCTTGAGACCTGAATGCCTTTAAAGTTCTGGGTTTGTGATGCATAGTCTAAAAGCCAAACTAACATAATGGGCACTTCTGCTTTGTCAAATACCTTGTGATGTCCCATGCCAGTGAACTTGGCGAAGTCCCTTCACATCTCATTACTTGGGTGTATCCATCATGACGTTCAGCATTACTGCTGGCACTGCACGAGTCAAAGGCTTAGTCGTTCTGGAAGAAACTCAAGTATTGGCTTGGAAAAGGCACCTTCCTCTATCTCTTAGAGAGGCATATGCACTGTATTTATGTGTACCTAAAGCCCTCAGATTTGTCATTTTGCCACTCCACAACTAATGTGTATACATCCAAACCATTCAGTCAGGAACATTGAGCATCTAAAATGCCCTGTCCCTGAAAACCAGAAAGCAAAAAGTATGTCTGGAAAAGTAGGGCATTTGAAAAGCGTAACTGGCAGCATGGGTGCCAAACTAACACAACCTCACAGAAAGAGAAAAAGAGCTGTCATAATATTGACATGTATTTCATTCATATGGCCATATATTTCCAGTACAGTATTTCCTCAGTCCCTAGAAAACATTTTCTGCAGTCATAGGCTTTTGTTTCATTCTTATGCATAATGCTACTTTACACTTAATTACCACAGTTCTTAATGTTTTCACAGCTTCCTTATGCAATGTGCAAAAGTTGCAGCATTTTTCAAATAGAGATATAAGGCCAAAAAACATTTCAGACAAGCATTTTAAATGATTAGTATCAGACAAGTAAAGGAATATTTAGTAGAATTGATAAAAAGTGTTTTCCCTGAAAATTTTTACTAGATTACCTGAAATTTCAGTTTCAATGAATGATATTTCAGTTTCAATCCACAAACTTATAGTGAGGAGAGTTTCTGATATTCTGTGCCCCCATTTTCCCTTTATTGGTTTTGCTCCTAAGACAGGATTTCGTGCGGTGTACCATATCCTTTCTTTGTGTGAGCCACTTTAGTGCATGGAGGTGTTTCTGCTTTTATTGCCTTTAAAGAGATAAAGCCCTTCTAACCAACACAGGACTTAGAGGAAGTAAGGGTATGAGATATTTTAACAGCTGCTGCAATGTAGCTTCAGTCATGAATGAACTAATCTGATTTTTGGAGTGAGAGCCAAAAAAAAGTTGCTTTTCCACCTTTTCCCACTTGCTGTCTCAATGAAATGTCAAGTTTATGATGGACCCATCAGAAATAATGTGTTTAACCAAAAAAAAAAAAAAAGTACTAACTCAATCCACTATTTTCTACTCAAAAAATCAACCAGCTCTATCTTTTTGGCTTATGAATACATTATTTAGTATAGAATTTTTCTCCTGTGTCCAAAATGAAGCACCTGTGTTTGAACACGTGGAGTGAGATGAAATAGAAATCAAAGTTGTTATGCTTCCTGTTGCCATTCTAATATTGTGCCCAGTGTTGTAAGATCACTTGAGGGACTGTTACAGGCAGTGGACACTGACTGCCTTTTGCATTCTGTGCATAGAGTCCAATACAGACACTTTCAAAGAATATTATAGAATCATGGTATCCAACAGTTTGTGACACAGCAGTGCCACTGTTCCTCTCTTCTTGAAGGAGCTTTACGAGCTTGTGCATAGTCAGCAGGTTCTGCAGAAACTCTTCTAACACTGATGTTGGAGCATCGATATTCCCAGTGGTGGCTCATTGGAAAAGACACCATCTGAAGACTGGAAGTCTGTGTCATTTTGCAGTCACAAAGACACTTAGTAAATGCTTATAAACTTCAGATTTTCATTAAGCCCCAAGTATAAAAGCAGAGTCTCACTAGGGCTGTCTGAAAAAAACTTTATGGCTGACTTAGGTTAGAGGACTGCATGAGATTTTTTTTTTCTGTGTATCATAAATACTTCAACCTCAAGGCAACTTGCTGGAACATTGCAACAACACAAGATTGTCAACGTGAAGCGCTGAGGCAGTGGTAAGAAATTGGTTCAACTTAACAGCAGCAGAAGAACACATTTCAGGGCACTTAGTTTGAAATGTTCTCATGTCAGTGCCCCAAAGACTATCACTTGGTTCTTAACAATATGCTGCTACTCAGTCTCACCTGTGGCAAAGGAAGCTGCAGAATGTTTAACATCTTTGAAGTGCGTATCGCTTCCAGTCAGATTCTTCAAGGCATGAAGTTTGCAAAACAAGTTGGCATTGTTTTGGCCAACAATGTTTGCATTGTAGAGCTGTGAAGTAGTCAGAAAGCCATATACACAGATTATACTTACTAAAGTTACTGTGAGCTACACTGCTCAGATCCAGATCTGAATTACATTTGAAATAAAGCAGCAGCATCTGTTAGCAGCAGTAGTATAAAATAATAAATGAAAATGAATGTACTGACAAGGCAGAGCTGTGGAATTAATTGACTACCAAGCACTGCTTTGGGGCAGAGGTTAAGACAATGCACAACTTTCTATTTCCAGCATGACAAACAGAATGAGATTCACTCCTTCTTCCCTCTTGTTGCCTACAACAACATCTTGCATCTAACAAGCTGCGGGCATTGCTATCTTTCAGGTTTCAACACAGCCAGTTCCACAGGAGCCCAGCAGAAAAGATTACGAACCATATCAGCCGTTTCAGAATTCAACCAGAAACTATGATGAGTCCTTCTTTGAGGACCAAGTGCATCATCGCCCACCTGCAAGTGAATACAACATGCACCTGGGACTAAAGTCAACTGGCAACTACGTCGACTTCTATTCAGCTGCTCGTCCCTATAGTGAACTTAACTATGAAACAAGCCACTATCCAGCCTCTCCCGACTCCTGGGTTTGAGACTTGGGCAGATACAAAAGCTCCAGGAACTGTGCATGTGCATGCATACCACAAGACATTTTTTTTCCTGCAAATTTAGTTTGTTAAAGCCTGTTCCATAGGAAGGCCCAGATAACCAGTAAGGAAAAAAAATAAGAGATTTTTTTTAGAAGGCTAAAAGAAATGAAAGCTAAACCTGGGAGTAATTAGAAAGAAATATATATATATATACACATATATATATTTTACATGTGGGACAACTTTACTGTTGGCCTGTAGAGTCTAAAGTTCGGTGCTGTGTGTTGAATGTGGCTGAAGGAAGTAGGGAGAACATGACAGTGGATGTGGGTTAAGAGTTAAGCACAAGTAACTGAGCAGCGTACATACTTTATGGGGAACAGCTTCTCACACTTTGTTTAATATCCTCATTCATTGTGAATCTAGGCTTCAAGTTGCATTTGGGGTTTCCTCTGTACAGCAAGATGTTTCTTGCCTTTTGTTAATGCATTGTTGTAAAGTATTTGATGTACATTACAGATAAAAAAACAAGTGCATTGTGTATATTACACCAATGCCACAGTGTTTCTTCATCTATGGTTCTAAATATTGCTTCAATTTCAAATTTTGAAAGATGTATGAATTTCCAGTTTTTTGTTTTCTTCTCCCCGGTGCGTTTTAACAAAAAAAAAGAAAAAAGAAAAAAAAGAAAAAAAAAAAAGGAATATTTAGCAGTATTGTTCGTTCTGATATGTGAATTTGTTTGTGGCAACTAAAAAAAAGGCATTCAGCAGTTTCTGACAATTAACATTCATCATTCCACACTCCTTGTCAACAAAGTGCTTTTTCACTGCCTAAAATTTTAGATGTAGATATTTGAAATAGATTTTTTTCATTTATACCAGTTTTCTTTATGATGATACAGTGTTAAAAGAAAATAAATTACAATTGATCTGTCATCCATATTTGCTAAGAATGTCTATTTCCAGGAATCTATCATACAAATATACATTCTTACTCGTGTGTGTCCACGTATGCATAGTATTCTGTGTGTGTGTGTGTATGTGTTTGAGCGTGTGCGTTTGTGTGGTGTAAGACCTATTTTCATCCAATGTTTTCCTTGTTCAAATTTCAGTTTTTGTTTGATTTTCTTTTTTTTCTTTTTTCTTTTTTTTTTTTTAACAGTGGAAACTCCAGTATGTGCTTTCTCTTACTCACTTTATTAACCATTGATAGTAATTCAAAATTGTTAGGCCACATACTCACAAAGGAAGGGGTTGTAGGATGTTTTTCACTGAGTCCTTCACCCTTAGGTGCCATTTCCTTTAAAATAGCATCTCTTGATCTTTTCTTGGGGAAAGAAATTTCATTACTCTCCAGCCACCAACCAGCAAGCACTCAAGGAAGAGAGTTTGATCTTGCCATCTCCCTGAGGGAATGGAAAACAAAGACCCAACAGACTAAAAGTCTGGAGTCTCCAAACTCTTGAGGCTACGGAAGGGTCCAACTCCTGAACCATTTGGACAATCATTTATTTTAACCCATACCAAAAAGAAAACCCAACACCCAAAATGCATTCCTCAAATATGAAAGATACTGGCCATTTCTGTGCATTTAAAATAAAACCCTAAAAAATAAAAAATTTAAAAAAAAAAAAAAGAAGAAAAAAAAAAGTAAGCAACAGAATTAAAAAACAAACAAACAAACAAACAAAAGGAAAGGAAACTAGGCTAAGAGACCAGAAGAGCTAGCATACTAATCTTAGCTCTTGGGAACTTTAAAAAAAAAAAATAATCATCATCTAGCATTTCTTTGATTCAGCCAAGAGTTTGGCATACGGTTTCCACAGAATAAGATCCAACACAAAAGGAGTAGTTGTAAATTGCTTAAATTACAATTAAGGAATTTGTTTTAGGTTGCAAACATTTCTGTGATTAGTCATTGTAATAGTCTCAACATCACCTGGCACACTTCTGGCTGTGTGCGGGGGAAGAAGTCTCTTGCAAATCATTGCCTGCTCTGTAGGATGCAGACCGAGTAGTTCACGCAGGCAGGTGTTGTGATGTAGAATTGGTTTTTGGTAATCTAGGACTATAGTTTAATCTTTTTTGGCAGCTTTTCCCGGTGTACGATATGTAACCTTATCTGCTCTTTGTAGTAAACAGGGGGAAAAAATCGCATGCAAAAAAATTTTTAAATCGTTTAAAAAAGGGTGGGTGGGAGGGGCACAGTGGGCCAGATGTATAGTGAGGTAGATGAAAATATTATTCATAGTTTTGGACACAGGTTGTTTATATTTTATTTATTACATTGATTTTAATAAGTGACATTTGCAGTGCTCTTTTGAACAAAGCACATTTTCAGTATAAAAACTTTTTTTTAATAAAGAATGTCACTCGCAACTTGAAGTTCTTCTTGCCTGCCTAATAACCATCAGATTTGTGCAGTTCTTCAGATGCAGGATTGCAAAAAGGCCGAAGGGACCCATGGTTCTGTTTAAACTTCTTTAGACAGAAAGTTACTGTAAACTGGATTATATTTCCATTCTTCAAACTACTTAAATGCCATATTGCCCCCTTGCAGCTCCTCTTAGAAATTAGTTAGAGTCAAACGTTGACCATTGCTCAAGTGAGACGTTTTGGACTGATGAAGTGGCATAAAATACCTTTTGTCTATAGTTTGTGTTCTTTTGTTTCCATTCTTCTGTAGTGGCAAGTGCTCCAACTAATAATGTTCACTCTTGCTGTACTGAGTTTTGAGAAGTGTGGAATTACCTGGCTTCTTTTCCAGGCTTGGAAATCCAACACTGCTGCCATACTGAACGGGATACTTATGATGCATTCTTTTTAATACTGAGGAAAGTATCATTGCCTATTGCTGTTCCCTTCATTCTTGTACTAGATCACACACAGAAATAGAGGAGAAACAAAACTGTTCCAAAAAAATGTATAAAATGCAATTGATGTACTGTAAAATGTCGGATTTTCCTTTTTCTTTTCCTTTTTTTTTTCTTTTTTAACAAGCTTCGCATTAGAATCTTGATCAGTTGTGTAGACCTATATAAATCTCACTGTTTTATTAAATGCTGTTTATGGTCTGGAAGGAATGGTTAACCTATCTCAAGATTAACAAATTTGCACTAACATGAGCAATATTGATTTGAAAAAAAAAAAAAAAAAGTGAATTCAATATTTAAAAGATAAACTATGATTTTAAAGGTATATTAACACTGAAAGTACATTTTGACAAATAACATATTTAAGCCCAAAATATAAATGGTTATGTCAAATAACACAAAAAGAGCTATAACAATATAGATTGAGAAAAAATGTGTTTCACTGTACATGTTGCTAACATGTACAAAGACAAACTCATATTGACATATTTTCTATTAATAAATCCTACTGTATTGTGGAGAATTGTTGGTCATAGTGCAATATGTTTAAACTCAGAAGTGGACTCCATAGATTGATTCCTAGCTTCACACAGCCAACAACCCCCTGCAATTCCCTTATTTTAACTGTTAATTGGATATTAATCATCTCTCAAGTCATTCATGTCCCTTTACCCCCAATCAGGTTTATGAGCACAACTTTAAACAACAAGGGAAGGGGAAATGTACATGTATTTTTGAGAACAGTACCAACACCCAGTTCACCCCTAAGTAAGGCTGAAAGAGCTGAAAAGCCTCAAGGCTGATCTCACTGGATGGGAGGACACTAAAAATTGCACCAGTGTTAAGTAGACTATAGCCAAGGAACTCAGAGAAAGCCAGTAATTTATTTCTGCATGTTTGAGGAGCTTGGCTCCTCCACATGTAGCAGCTCAGGAGTGTTTATGGGGACTAGGTTGCCTAAGACTTGCAGAAGTGTCCTGCCAGGGAGACTTACAACTAAAATTAGGAATGCTGACTATTTTCTTCTACCTTGGCACAGCTTAGTCTGCTGTTCAAAGTGTTGCAGGAGAGGCTTTCTCGACTCCTTTGCCTTTATTACTCACCCCCTCCTGCAAACGAGCAGAAAAAAGTCTGAGCTTAGCGCTACTGCTTGTATTGTGGGGAGTGGGAGGTGTGAAGGGAGCAACCTGGATTGGAGTGGGAAAAAAGGGGGCATAAGGGCATAAGCATGCAGAAACAGAGGGCTTGTACACACCCCTGATGACCAACAGTGGAATGGGGCCTGGCAGTATGTTGTGCACTGCGATCATCAAATATTACTGACAGGCTGATGCACTGAGGCGTTCATAGCAGCGACATGCTGCATGCAAAGCTTTGCACTAGCCAAGCGAGAGGGGACAGCAGAGGGAAGTCACAGGTCACTGCTGGGCACTTCCAGCTCTGTCCTGCAAGGCAGCAAGCCAAGCGCTGAGCACAACGGGCACAAGGGCAGAGACCCTGACTGCTGGCTGCTATGAAGGACAGAGGAGGGAGATTACTCCTGATCAGAGGCTTTAAGCCAAAAAAGAGACTCAAGAGCTAAAACAGAGGCAGCTCTTTGCAAATCCCTCCCCCACCACACATCCTCCATGGCACTGCTGTCTGCCCAGCAGGTACGGGGACACTGTGCACACAGGGCACAATTCCTTCAAGGACCCAGCTGGCACAAGGCCTTTACTATCCGCACAGGTGGGTCTGAACCCAAGCTAGCTGAGAAATGGCTCCAGGCACTGGGGACTCAATTGTTTTCTCTTGAGGCCAGGTAGGATCAGCATCTCCTAAAGAGCTGTGCTGTGCCACCTCTTTTTTTCCAGAGGGCTCACCAGTTTTTAAATAGTGGCCTGAAGCCATTTTTAGACATTTGTTCTGAAAGTGGGAGATGTGAGTTTCCTGTCTGCCCCACTCTAATAGGGCACACAGCAGTCATTGACTTGCAGGGGGGCATCACCACTGCCGAGGATGTTCAGAAAAGACCGGGAGACAAGCAGTGACAGGATTAAGTCTGCTGAGGCCCAGGCCTGTGACTCCAGCTAGCACAAGCACTTCAGGTTCTTTCTCCCCAGCACTCCCCCAGTTTTTGTTTTTTTTTACATGATCGTGACAGGGCCACGTCATTCAGACCTGCACACCACGGCCTGCTGCAAGGCCTGCACATGAGGCCTGGTGTTGGCCAGACATGGCCCTCTAGCAAGACACCATGCCTAAGCATTACCCTTAAAACTGATTCCCAAACAAGCCGACTTTTAGCACTTTTAATGCAATTTTAAAAGCAGCTTCCTTCCCATGTAGGCATTGGTATTGGTTTCCAGGAAAAGAGCACATGCTAAACTCTTACAAAGCTTAAACCTTTAGCTCACTTATTAAAGCCAACAGATGTCCCTGGAAAGACTTCCAGTAACTTCAGGGAGGAATGGGCCAGGCCCAAAGAGAGAAGTGTCAAAGACTTTTGGTGCAAACATCTCACAGGATGAAAGCATCAAGGACATTCCAGCTACCATGCTGAAGGTTGCAGTGCATTAGTAGATAGCAGAAGAAAAAGGCCAGTTATTTCTTAGGACTTGTCTCTCAAAATTTACTGTATAGCCTTCAGCTCTCTCTAATTTTATTTTCATGGTTTTAAGAAATTGGATAAAAAGTGACTGATTGTTGCAGTTAATTCCAGTAGCCTGATGAGTACTTTCAGACACTGAAATACTTTATTTTTCAGACAGGAAATATGTCAAACCTAGCACTAAATCTAAGAAAGCAAAATCACAGCTGTTTGCTGATTCACCGTTTTTTTTAAATTCAATTAAAATATTAATTGATATAAAGCTTTTCATTTATATATAACCCTTAAGAGAGTTGCTTTTTAAATAATTTAGTTACTGTACATGAAAGTTATGTAGGCAGAAAATGTTAATAACTAAACATATCGAGGCTGAAGAGTAAATGTGTGACAGAGAACTCAGGCTGCTGTACACAGACACGATTGATTTTTACCTCTTCTTGACATCAACCAAGAAAGAAAAAAAATAAAGAGCATGTACTATAGGAAGCTTAACATGTCACATAGCAAATATGTCACTTTGGAAAAAAAAAAGATTTACAACCTTTAAAAAACAACCCTTTTCTTCTAAGCTACCGTGGGTTTGACTTTTTCTTGGGGTAGTGAGAAGAACGGAGAATTAAAAAGCCACTTGTTTAGTAGGTAAGGATAATGATCTGCCCTGAACAAAATCTGCATAATAGCCAAATTTTTAAATAAAAACCTGGATACTTCAAACGTACATAGTCTGATAGCACATTAAATCATCCACAATAGGCCATGCCCGTGGCCTAGGCTCTCCCTCAGAGAGCACACGGGGTGCGGTAAAGTATTTCACATTAGTCAGAAGGGAATTTCAAGTTGAAAGCCAGACACCAGGTGAATTAAAGCTGCAGTCATAAACACAGGGGGAAAGTGTGGGTTCCCTTCCCACAGCTAAGGGATGTGGCTTGTGCTTTTGTTGTTACTGGTTTTTTATTTTCCTAATTAGGGTTTAGGGCAATAAAAATGTTGATGTAGCAATCTGTGGAATGTGTTTTGAGTTAAGTAAAAGGACAAGTTATGTTAATGCTTATAATTGAAAAAGACAGATTGAGACAAACTGTTATGACTTCCTAAAATTAGATGTATAAGTGTAGGTTAAGATAAAATCTGATTTAACATCACCAGTGATTTAAATACAAATAATGTAATAAGGTAGACTGTGAAGT